GGAACATCAACGTTCTTACCCCTCTGTTGGGGGAGAAGAAAAAAAAAAAAAAAACTCCGCCATCACGAATCTACGCTGACGGATTGCGAGAATGATTGTTCAGTTCATCGGGAAACTCGTTCGATAATTTTCTTACATTTCTTAAAGAAATTTATTTATTCTATTCTATTCTACTAAATAATTCTATTAAAATAAATTTATTCTATTCTATTCGGAGGGAGCGCGCTGCCATACTTAATTTCTATAAAGTATTATATTATATTGCAACAAAGTACAATGAAACGAAAAGTATTTCTCGTATTTGTAGTATCATTGTCATTTTAAATTCGTCCCATTTTAGTTGTTTCAAACTACTATCTAATCGTCAACGTGCTGAGAAAACAATGCACATGCATCGTTGCATTCTTTCTGAAAGTAAGTAAGTAAAAAAAAAAAAAAGAGCCTGGCTTACGATCAAGAGATACTACACGAAAAAGGAAAATGAAGATAACACACCGTTTCCTTTCGATTACAAACTCCTCTCACTGACAAGCTAATAGTCCTCGGCTCTTCTCCGTCTCTCTCTATTTCCATCGAAGTGATCCACGTGAACGAGGCGAGAGATCCGGATCTCATTTTGAAAGGAGAGAACACGCTAGGCCACAATACACAGCCGCCAAGTCGCTCAGACGAGGGTAGGAAGGTGGTAGGACGAGAGGGGCTTAGAAAACCGGTGGGAGAGCAGCGTTAGGGCGGGTGATTGCGAGCGACGCGTTCCGGGGCGCCGAATATTCAGGAATATCTGAGCTCCGCGTTGCTAATTAATTGGCCCGTAAATTAGCAGGCAACAATGCCGCAGGCCATCGTGTAGCAAAACGAAATCGCCGGCACGCGTGCGTTACGTAAGAATACGCGTGATCTATGCGGTATTCGCGGGGTTCGCTCGCCTCGTCCTACCTGCCGTTTCAATTTCCTCACCCCCATCGTCGCGGGAAACTACCCTTCGACTTTCTCTCCTCCTTCGCTTTTTTCCCCCGATTGTCCGATTGCGAGGAGCACGCGAGGAGAGTTTCCACGAGAGGTGGGATGGCTCGGGTAATTTAGGAAACGCGTGACGTTGTCGTATGTTTGTGCATACGTTTCTTTGTTATTCCGGAAAAATAAGTCGAGAAGAAAGAATAGAATCGTTTCATTTAAGGCTTAGTTTCGGTCGAATTTTGCTAATATAAAGTGCGAATTTGGTTGTACGCGATTATTTTCGAAAATAGATTGACTAGACTGTGGTGGGAAGTAGTTGAATGAAAAGAGTGAGAGGTATATATATTTAGTTTTCATGATCGATTAATTTATTTTAATTCGAATTTGGCTGTATAGTTGAGTGAAAAAAGTGAGAGTTGTATATTTAGTTTTCATGATCGATAAGTTAATTTATTTTAAATTCGTGTAATTCAAATTTGGCTGTATAGCCTGTACGTGATCATTTTCGCAAATGGATTGAATAAACTGTGATGGAAAATATATATTGAATGAAAAAAGTAAGAGATTATATATATTCAGCTTTCTCAATCGTGTAATTAATTAATTTTAAATTCTTAAAAATTAAATTTAAATATTTTTATATATTTTCTCTTAATAAACAGATCAATGCAATAAAATGTTTTAAATATTGAAATATAATATTTCAAATTTCAGGATCTTCGTGATTAATTATGTATCTCTTATACATTTTAATTGTATATGTACGTCTTTTGTCAAATTTGCGCACGATTCGTCTATTTAAATGCTTACAAGAATCTCGATTTCTGTTTCAGACAAGCCAGAAGCATCCAACAGAGTTGTCTTCGTTCCCAGTTCGATCGTCGATGTAATCTTCTTTGGTGAGTCTCCACTTTCTCTTTCAATCCTATTTCAAAAAATCTTGAACGAAGCACAGGCTAGTTGACGAGAATCTTTGTTGTGCGCCGTATAAAATTGACGAAAATCGACGAAGCGAGAAAAGTCGTTCGTCGAGTTTCCTTCAAAAAAAGAAAAATTCAGGGAACACGGTGAGTCGTATTTTAGAAAAAACTCGAGCGAAAATTAAACGAAAAGTTGAACCGCGAAACAAAACGTGCGATCGCTAACGAACCGTAGGAACCGTGACGACTTTACTGAGAGAGGGAAGAGCTTGCAAGAAAAAGAATATCTAAATATCTAGAAAAGAAAATACAAAAACACCCACGCGCTTTTCACATCGCGAGATCTTGCAGCCGTACGTTACAGTTTACGACCCTTTGCAGCTTCAATTCTCCGTGTATACCTGCAGCCGGCAGTCAGATCGTAAAGGGTCGCGAATTGAGTGCACCTGTTGCGACTAGTTGCAGCCAACCTACGCGTCAGTGGATGGTAATGTGAAAACGGGATTGCGACGTTGTCTCGAGCAGTCAGACACGATTTCGTTTTCTTTCGCGTTATCGCGTTGGCTGGCTATTTCGAAAATCGTGAGAGAGAGAGAGAGAGAGAGAGAGAAAGGTTAGATAATTGCACGTGCTTAACTAGATTGTAGATGTTTGCACGTTTATGGGAAACTTGAGTGTGCCACTGCGTGTAAATGTTTGAACTGTGTTGAATTACTGCGATATAAAAATACAATTCAGATTCGAGTCTCTTTAATTTTTAACGTTACGTTGTTAATAATGTAAAATCGTAAAACCTCATTTTAATTGTAAATACATTTTATTTTCTAAGAGCATAGAGAGTGATGGATTGGAATAGAGAAATCCACGAGATTTATTGAGAAATACAAATTAGCTGACAGCAAAGTGTCGATCGAGTTCTTCGGATGATTACGTGTCTAAATAAGCCTAAAATTAGTCGTGTCCTTGCTTCGGCTTTTGAATTTTAGAGAAAGCACTCTGCGCAGTGCTTTCGTCTCGAAGCTCGCTACTTCAATTTCCAAAAAATACGTAGGAATAGCACTGTTGGTCAGTTAATTCCCGTTCGATCGAATTAATCATCGGGAACGCGATGACGAAACAACAAATAACGGATCGACGAGAATCGCACCGATAGAATCCCCGGTGGCTATCAACAAAATTTACCCCGGCGGGGAAGGGACGGTGAGAGATACTCCTCGATTTTTCACGGCGCGGTTTTTCAGCTTATAAGTGCGTTTAGTCATCGAGCGGGCAGATAAGCCTTTTAAGCGGTGCGCGCAAACAGGAACGGGGAAACGTTTCGAACGCAACGAGTAGAAACGTTTTGTCGCGGATCGAACGCCGGCGTTATTGGCTGGAAGCTTGATAAGCGAGAGAGAGCACCGTCGGAGCTGGCCACCACCGCGAAAATCCATCGGCGGCGATAAAAAAAAAAAAAGAAAAAAAGAAAAACTTGATCGCGAACGATCGCGAATCACGTTCGAATCGGCGGTAGGAAATATCGTGGCTTTCGCCGCGAATTGCCTCGATCGAAATTTAAATTGTTCGGTATCTTTCGCGAGAGCGAGACAATTATCAGTTCGAATCAATTTCTTCTTCTTTTTTTTTTTTTTTTTTTTTTTTTCTTTTCCTCCCTCCCTTCGAAAATTTCGCTTTCACGAGGAATGCGAAGAGTTCAGGATTTAATCGCACGTTCGAACGAAAATTTTTTGGACGAATCGATCCAAAAGTTCGGAACTACGATTGTGAGTTCACGCGCAGACGGAGAGGTAATATCTATGAAAATAAATGAAACGGGCGGGTAGATGAATCTCCCTTTCTTTTTTTTTTTTTTTTTCTTCTTCTTCTCTCGCAGGATCGTAGATTGAAATAAATTGAAAAATCTCGGTGTTGCCGCGGATTTAAATTCCCTATTCCGAATCTGTGAATTGATATCGTAACTAAATCGTTTTATTCGTGAAAATGTCGTCGAATGTTTTTTCAGAGATAGACGGGATGAATTAAATAGAGATGGACATATTTGACACGTGAATTTCATCATTTCAAATTATTTTACTACTGTCTTGGAATAGTTTCGATAAAAATTTTCGCATCATGGTAGAAGGAGGGAAATTATTTTTCTTCTATTCATTTACTCAATCGTTTTTTATTATTTAACTCGTTGAAATAAGAGAATTTCATCTTACGGTTTCGTTCGTCCAGTCTTATTTTATTCGCTGAAAGGAAAATTTCTCTCATAGTTTATCGTCGTATTGATACATTTAAGAGACTCAGAGAACGCAAACACTCGAAACCTTTAGACCGTTGGAAACTGTAATGACAGACTCTAGACTCGATCGATCGATAGAAAAGAAAATTGACGGGAGTGTCCACCGTGACGAAGCTTCCTTGACTCGATTTTTCGTGTCCAACTGCGGTCATTGTCTGGCCATTAGCGAGCCGCCGGTCTTTTTCCCCTTTTTGTCGCCGCTGTTGGTCGTTTTTGCACCGGCACCACCGGTGGACGGAACCTCATAGCGTTTCTTGCTCGTTTCTGTCGACATCTCGCGCTGCTGAGTTAACGATTTCTCCCGCGAGAGAATACGCTTCTCCCCGATCTTTTCCAACGAGCGTGCCGATCGAGCGCTTCAATCTTCGCGAATCGATCGGTTTTTTTTTTCTTCTTCTTCTACCTTTGCCAATTCTATTTCGTGTCATCGTCTGCTTTTCTCCTTTTGGCCGGAATCATTCGAAGCAGAGATGTCTCGAGTTTGTTCGTGCAAGATTCGCACGCGAATTTCTCGTTTGTGGTTACCAGTCGCTGCAAGTGCAGCCGACACAGCCAGCCAACAACGATGGCTGATCATTTATTAAAAGCTCGTTCGTACCGGTCTTTCTATCGCTATTATTAGCGTCCACGTGCGCGACAATGAGACGAGTCATGTTCCTTTTAAGCTCGAGATGGACATTCTAACGGGCGATCTCTCGCTCGCCGCAGCTTGAATGTATTTTCGATACGTCCTCTGTTTTGAGAAGACCGTGGATTTTTACCTGTTCGACAATAGATGAAATGAACTTGAAACTTGTTGTAATATTTAATTTCTTGAGCTTGGAATTGTTTTTTTAAAGACTTGAAATTGCACGGTGACCGTGGTCTACGTTATTTTTACGAATTATAGTATAACTGAAGTAGAGTAGAATGTAAATAGAAACGTGCTTCAATCTACGAAGTTGATTGTAAGTTTGTAAAAGTTTACTGCAATTCCCTCTTACGTGTGTATTTTCATCTCATAGTATATAAGTGTTCGTTTTTCTTTTTCTTCTTTAGGATGAGAGTTTCAGATTAAACATTTCTGAAGTTCTCAGATTAAAACTCGCGGAATCAGTGAATCATAAATTCATTCTTACCTTCTGTCTGGAGGTTCACATTTAATTTATTTTTCCACGAGAATTTTATTTTTACACGTGCGATATATTCTTTATGATTGCCACACCCGAAATTGAGCTTATTACGCAGTCTGATGCAAACACGCTACACAATAAATGCGAAAAAAGAAGTTCTGTTACACAGAAATTTTGCTACAGCTACAGTTACATTTTATTACGAGCAAATATTGAACGCAAACACGCGGAACACGTGTACAATACGAATTCAGCATTAAATCACGTAATAGATTGGCCTGAATACAATGTAATGCAACTTGATTGCCCGATACTCAGCAAAATTCTCAAGAAATTCGCGACGTAATAAATTCCGTGTCGTATCATAGCGATGTTCAGTATGCGCCAACGTATTCTAAAACGGGAATGATCTTCGACGAAAATGCCTGCGAACGAAACAGCTACCCGTCGTACTCTGTTATTTACAGTTTCGATTCGCGTTTAATATTTATTTGTAACTTTACAAGATGAAACACTCGCATGTCAAATTGAATCGAACGATTGAAAGTCCTCGTTTCAAAAATTTCGCTTCATATCATCCGGATTTGATTCAAATTGCCAAAAAGTATAAAAGTTTGGTCGGCCAACGGTGTGCTAATGCAACATTTCATTGCTTGACTAGTTCTCCATCAGTTTCTATCCTGTGAAATGAAAAAAATTCCAATTTTGTTAAAATAGATAAATAATCACTCGGTCCTCGGTGGATAACGAGTACATTCATCTTCAAACGTGTACATACCTCTTGATAAATTTATTATTATATATATTATATATATTATATTGTACAAATAGTATATTATATATATATATATATATATATATATATATATATATATAGTGTACATACCTCTTGATAAATTTATTATTATATATGTTATATTATATATTATATATTTATATTTATATTATAAATTACTACGTATGTAACTTTATGTAAAGTTACACTCTTCGAAACCAAGTTATTTTATCGTCGATCGTAAGATTATCAAAAATAAACGTTTCAGAATCTTCTCTGAAATGAACAAATATCAATTGCAATGAAATTGAATGATTTTGTCGAGATTAATAAATCGCTTAGCAGACGAAACATTCGTCGCGATCTCGTTTCCCAACAGAACTCGCAAAAATTCCTTCGATCGTTACGAAAATCACTCGTTACTTGGGGAGGAGGGAGTTTGACTAACTTTTTTTTCGAAAGTTCACCACTGTAATCTAATTTCACCGCACGTACGTCAATTTATACATATACATATATCTGTATATATCGATTTTGAAGTTCGAGAGCTCGTGGCTACAAATTCGGGCGCACACAAACGAACGTACATATATATATATATATATATATATATATATATATACCAACGTTACTACCGGCGCTGAATTTCTTTTTGCATCAGTTGATTCACTGCGATGGCCGGATCGTGAAGCGGAACGCTCCTTTTTTTCCCTCTGTAATTCGCGTTCCGCGTTTCCCAATATTTTTTCGTGGGGGAAGAAATACCACAGCGAAGTTTCTTATATAAATACACACCAGCCGGTCA